CCACAGAATTTTTGTTTGCCGCCACGACGCGCTCGGTTCATTTCGATTCAAGCGTCAAAGTGAAAAGGAGCATGTATATTAATTATCTGCGCGCAGCGGCGCTTCGGTTCGCGGAACACGAACAAAAAGCGGAGCTGTCGTATCGCGTTAGAATCCCTTCGCGCTTTTCCTTTTTCGTTTGCGAGCAACGCGCGGGTCGTATCGATGACACGACAAAACGAAAAATAAAAGGAACGTAGGCGAGGAAAAGGATTGCTGAAACGCATCGCTATTCACGGGAGATCGCGACCAATGACGTCTTACGTTCTCCCCCTTGAAAAAGCCCTCGAGAGCCGCTTCGGAACGTGCTTTTTCGAGTACTCTACTTTGTAACCCGCCAGGCACTACCGGGACCGCGTTCCCCCGAGCCCAAAAGGGTAGAGATATCCCTGTCGGTTGCATAAATAGTGGCGACGACACACTTCCAGCCACGAGATTGGAGAGCGACGAGAAGATGCCATTACATGCGAATTAAAACGAAAAATTAGAGGGCCGGTCGCTCTGCGAGCGTGGCCCCTCTGTTTGCCGCGACAAAAACGTCGGGGCGTTAATTAAAGTCGTGGAATTTTTTCGCGGCGGGTAACAAGCGGCCTCTTCGACATTTACTGCCCGGGTAACGTGTAACCACGAATTTCGTTTACCAGCCTGGTCTCGGTGAATGAGCTCATCTAATTCTTTAATCATCCTTTTTTCCCCTTTACCGTCGTTGTCGATGTTCTTTCCTGTGCGACGTGACCTGGAAAACATTCGACTATACACGAAGTGTATATGATATTCTTTTGTGTTTGAGGAAGTGAGATGACGGTTGCGTTGAATTGCTTTTAAAAATTGTTTGAAGAAGTCGATGATGTAGATGTTGAATTATGCATTGGAATGTTCTGCTTTGACTTTAACTGCTTATATGTTTCGGTAGGGAGTGTACGATGCGAATGTTAACATTTGAAGAAATAGTGTGGGGAACGCGCGCAAAATTTCCTTCCGCCGGACCTTCTAAATGAACTCAGAATACGCTCAAAGGATTAATAAATCGACACTCCGCGGTTACTTTGAATCATCGGCCTCAGGAGCGTCACTTATTACTCGCCCTCCTGCGAGTAATTTCCGCAGTTAATTTCGGAGTTATATGATTAGGTTGTGTAGTAATATTACTGGGTATAATACCAAACTGGTTGTAATTAACTTCAACCACTGACGATGTACCGGTAATTCGGCCTAAACAAATTACCATCTGCATGATCATCTTCATCCAGCGGTTCAAATGCCGCAGTTGATCAAGCTGAACTGTACCTTTTTATTAAGGGTTTTATTACTGTCGCGATATCACGACTTTTAATGTGAACAAAAGTCACTTCGTTCTTACATGAAATTTACAATACTAATTGTAGATACTTAACACAACCGAAGTAGCTTAATTTAATAACCAAAATTGATATAACTATAATCCTTCGTTGTTTCTTCATTTCTCGAGCAAAATGAATCTAAACGAAACCAAATCTTCTATGCCTATAATATCAAGGAACGAAATAGTTACAAAATGAACAGACTGCATTTTTTCTGTTTTTTCCATTTTCTCTAAATGATGTATATCCTGACCTATCATCAAACACTGCACTCAGTTCACGAGAAATTATTTCTCGCCGTCGGTTCGCAGCCCAAAGTCCGCGGAAACAATAAAAATGAGTTGCGATCGGACGTGCACCGAGCGAATCCGTTCGCAATTTTCATTACAGGCATGAACTACTTGAAACACGATAATATTTCAGCCGCCGTCAAGGGGACACCGATCGGCCCATATTAATGACTCCCCGTTTTCCGGACTGTTGCAGATATCCGGGAGTTTTACGAGCTGACGTTGCTCGACGAGTCGAAATCGGTGCAGCAGAAAACGGCGGAGACGATCCGCATTGCCGACAAATGGGAAGCCAGCGACGGGCCAATTACGCCAACCTTCGCTCAAAACGACGTGAGTTCAGTTACAAATATATTTCGGTGCCTCGATATTTCATACCCGGCTTTGTCATCTCCTCGACGGTATTGGACGCGTACTAAAGGACAGACGTAGCGGCCGCGTGCTCGTTGCGCATTCACGGCCCCACTGTCTGATCCAGCTGCCCCGGAATCTCGTTTCCGTGTTTCCCATTTCGACCGAAAGTTTATTAGAATTCCATGAACCTAACCTTTCCCGGCGTGCCGGCAACAGCGGCCGGAAATAAAATTGAACCTGCTCGTAACTATTCGCAGGCGAATTACCACTGACGGCGACGTCTTATCATCGGCGTCCGATCATTTCATACGGCCGTCGATTCAAGTAAATCGTTTTCAAATGATCGAACAGTTCTCGAAACCGTCGCATTCGAATTCCAAGCACGGGATCCAGAAAACGAGGGGGCAGTACATATTTGCATACTCTGAAAAATCAGATTCAAATAGACGAATCGCTTGTAGCGCGCGCTACGCCCAGACAGATAATTCGATAGCGAATCCCGCATCTGCGTTCCGAAATTATACCAGTTTTCACGCCGCGGGACCCTTTCCGGGATAGTTCTCGTGGGACTCGTCAATTTATTAGGAAATAGAGACACGGGCCGAGCGCCGGCCCCGGAAATGAAATTCTCAGAATATTTTAACCCGACCCGTTCCGAGTACTAATCACGTGGCAGGTCCCGTGATGGATGGCGGTGGGGGTTGAGGTGGCGCGGAAGAGGAAAGAGAGGCGGTTGGCAGGTGCCGCGCAATTAGCGCCCGTAATTATAATCCAAGAGTCGATTGGCCCGCGGGACAGGCTGGTATCATGCTAGACCGATCAATCGCCGAACCCCTGATTTTAATTGCTAATTGCTCCCGTCCCACGGTTCCCCATCGTGCGGCGTGTCGTCGTGGCCGATCGACGACGTGACGCGGCTGGTGCAACGATGCGCCGTGCAACGATTGCAAATCGCGCGTCGCGCGCCCGGCATGTAGTTGCGATGCCGGGCACGTCTCGTGCTTCCTCTCCGCTCCTCGCATTGCATCGCGTCGTCGTTCCGCTCCGTTCCGTGCGGGGATCCACTCGGTTCCGATCGTTCGGCCGCCGATGACGTCCCGGAATTTATAGATCGTTCGGATTTAATTGCCAGGAATTAATCCTTTCACGCCCGTCGCTGCGCCGAAACAAATTCTTTTGCGCCCGCCGCGGTGGATCGGTTTTCCGTGGAATGTGATTAGAAATATTTGTTGTAACAGGTTGGAACCACTTCGTTCAGAAACGATCACTTTTTACTATTCACGTCGGTTCAATTGAAAGACTTCTCGGTTTAACCCTTTACGATCGATACATTTTTCTGGTGACGGTACCAACTAATCGAAGCAAACGTATATATTTTCGAAGTTATTTTTTTATAGGTAGTTTATTATAAATATATGGATATTAAAAATTTGTTGAAGTTAATGTGTTTTGTAGAATATAAATTCTGTAGAGAATAAATACCTCTGGATCGTAAAAAAATGTACTCAGGAAGAACATGCCCTATTGGCGGCACCGGTCACAAAGGGTTAAAGGTATTCAACGTTATTTGGAAACGGAGTTAAGAGAACTTTCTTCTGAGCGCAGTTCGAGTACTGATCTCGAGAATTAAAGGCAATTCGCGTATGAGTTCGTTATTTCGAAGTTATTCGTGTGGCTAGAGTAATTGTCTCAGCATTACTTAACTATCGTCGAACACAAGGATCAGATATAAAATTTCTGACACGAAAGGATCTTGCGAAACGTCAATGGAAAGATCGTTAAATTCACGTCTTACAACGTCTTGTCGAGTTGACATCTCGCAGGTGCAATTTTCTATGGCGTGATTCCATTAATTCGATCCCAAATGACGCAAGACGTCGCATAAGGTTCAGTCGGCAACGAAGAAACTGAAAAATGCATTTCCGCGCGCTTATTTTACGGTACGGAGATCCAGTTGTACGAATACGGACGGCCGTCGCCGGTGGAATTCTTACCTCCGAGGAGACGCGTATACAACCGGGACGAACAAACGAGCGAACAAGTCTTGATGGTTCTCACCTGCGAGTACAGGGGATGTTAAGCGTTCTCCGGAGAACAGAATGGTTTTCGTTGCTTGCACAGACAGATGGCACATAACATCCATTATGAAGAATTTCTCTCGGAGCGCGTATTTGCGCGTGCACTTCTACTGTGCGTACTACCCGCTCCGTTGCTGGGTAGCCGGCCGCCGTCCGCGTTTGTGTTTGCTCTTCCGCGTTATGTGTACACCTTTTCTCTCGTATAAATTCCAATACTTCGCGATGCACCCAGAACTGGTATCTCCAGATAGTTTCGGAGCATTTTTCAGACTTAACTTGCATCTACCATTCCAGTGATTTAGAATAGTGGTATAACTGCGATTTGTGAGTTCTCGAGAAAAAGAAACTTTCACGGAGTGTTCTTAGGTGAATCAAATGCTACCATTGCAATTGTTGATATTAGCAATTATAATATTGGTATTTAATTAGTCCAAGATCATTTCGCGAGAACCTTTTTCTGCGGGATCTTCGAAGTAAAAGTTAGATTATCATTGTGAGCCATAGAGTTTTTATTCAGTAAGACATTTGTTTGCAGTGTTTATTGTATTTTTAGTGCACGATGATTTTTAAGACAAATTTTCTGGTAAGATTAGCTCTTCGCATTTTGGCGTAGGAGGTATCACGTTTGCAATTGACGATCGCGAATCATTGCTCCAGGAAATGCAAATGCCCAACGTGCTATGGGTAATTGCTTATTAGTGAATGCTTCCCTCGTGTATCCATAATTTCACGGTATTATTCGTCGTATTGATCTTTCATGTTGACGTGAAAGTATGCTTCCATTCAGCCCCGACGGATGTTCACCTAACATCGGTCAATGTTTGGTAATTAAACACCGTACGTCGAGCTTGTATGATAACACGTTTACCGTACGACGTAATGTACATTTCATATAAAGTTATAGAAAGACAGGCAACATTCTGATCAGATTTCGAACATGTTACTTTAACTTGTCTTACTTACGATAATTTGGTAAACAAAGGTATGAATCGATTATAAATTTAGTAAATAAATATAATTAAACACGTCTCAACAAACCAGTACGGAATTTCAACGTAGAAATAGTAGAAAAGAAACAATTTGTAACAGACGTTTATATATACTTACTTCTCAACAAAAAATATATAATCCTCTTAATATCCCAAGAGGTTCGAGAGGAAGTTTTCGTTTCCAACTTTCAGTGGTGTATGTTGCGAAGAGGTTAGGAAGTTCAATCGCGTAAAAATCCGGGAGCCGTAAAATTTAGAAAGCCTTTACAATACTCAAGAGATTCGCTCGTCAAAATGTTCGTTGTGAAAATTTCACCGCGAAAACCATCGAAACCTGTACAGGTATTCTCGCGCAACCTTGTAAAGTGTTCGAATTCCATATCCGATCGGTCGGATTGTTCGATTTAAATTCTTCCCGCCGTTTATTCTACCCTTTTTCCTATTTTTCACCTTTCATTCACGTTTTTTTTCCCCATTCCGATTTTGTCAAGTCATACGAGTTCCGTTACACTTAATCCGCGCACCGGAAACCGTAATATAGATCGACACGTGCAAGTATATATTGTCATGTCATGCAAGCTTTGATTGGATTGGCCGCGGTTCCGACGCATTCTACGTGCTCCATGTTCAAGAGGATTTCGACCTGGCGTCGGTCTCTTTGACGTCCTATTTGGAGCCACGCGAGCAGCCATAAGCAATTTACCACAAAGTGCTTCTAAATTGTTCAATTCCCCATGTGTACTTTTCACTTTACGCACTGAACGCGACAAGAACGAAATTTATCGCAACCCAACGAAGAATTTCCATTTTCCCGATCTACTCTCCTCCTCCGCCCGAGAAAAAAAATGAAATGCAAATAAAAAAATATTTGTGAAATTTCGATCATCCTCGCTACATCCTATTTACCACTGGAAACATCTAATTTGTAACACATCTTGGAGAATGCTGCAGGCGTTTATTGAAATTCTACAAAACCATCATTTCAATATAGACAGAATCCAAATTTACTCGTTCCATGATGTCAGTTTGCAAGTTTGAAATTTCACCTTCCCGCGAGTTAAGATATTAAGATGTTTCTACTTTAAATACAGAAAAACCGCGCTACGAACGCAGCCGTAATGCTAATCGCGATGGCAGACACGCGCGTGCGCGCACACGATTTATTATAACTCGTCCTAATTGACAACGGAAACGGAATTAAGCTCGAAACTGGGTACACGCACGCGGATTTCTGCCGGCTTCGAGCACTTTTCGCCGAATTAGTGAGCCGCGTGTAATTGCCAAACATGGTTTACGTTGATAGTGTTACACGTGATCCAGGATTCCGTTGAACCAGGCACGACAGCGTTATCGTGTCTTCCTTTCGACGGTCGTCGATCGTGAACCCATAAAAGTATGATCGTCGACGAGGCAGTATCGAAAACATTGACAGCGACGCGAGGCTAAACGCATACATGCCAGCACAGCACCGAGTTCATTGAAAGTGACACGTCACCCTTCACAAGGGCACAAAAAATCATCGTCGAACGAAAAAGCGATATCGATCGGTTAACGTTAACGAGGAGGACCGACAACATGATTGCATTCATGTGGCACGTCGCAAACTGGTCGGGAACACGACGGTCGCGCGACAGAAGTTAACAACTTTCAACGGAGCGCTTGTTTATTACCGCAACGCGCGCGACAATAGTTGCCTTTGCCCGATGCGATCGTGATTCCGAAGTCCCTGGAACTATCGAAATTTCCGAGCGCATCCGGCGCGATGAACGACCGCGTTTTACGAGCACGAATTTCTCTAGAAGCACTTTGACCAGAGCTGGCCACCTTCCATTTCGCCGCGTCTCTTACATACGGCGCTTTCTACTTATCGTCGGAACGACGCGGCGATCAGTGTTGCGAAACATCTGTTACT